AAATGGAATTCTATCTACAAAGCACATTGAGACCAGTGCAAAGGAGTTGCAAGTGTGTGCTTCAAAAGCAGCGTAAGCAATCCCTGTGTCATGGTACATTCAATTTATTGTTGAGTTGGCAGGAGGGTCGAAAACAGTTTCAAAACTTTTAGCTGTTAGGTTTTCTATTACTCTGTGGCTTTACGCACAGTGAAGAGCAAGACCTTGTCCTGTTTTTCCTATGTTTTAGCCAAATAAAACAGATACTAAGGTAAGATTTTGGACACAGAACCCAAAATTGGGCCTTCTTATTATCATTTCCTTCCTTTTATTGAAGTTGATCTAGCTGTAGCTGTTAATTCTCAGTTTGCCTCGGTTTGTTTTCTAGATATTTCAAAAGGTGGGGGGACTAGACCCATTTCAAAGTTCCCAAAATAGCTATAAACACTTCACCGTTTTTACAGCCTAAATATTGCAGATATATTTGGCTTTCTCAGGTGGGAACAAACACAAAGAAAAGGAAAAGAACTTTTCTGCTACTGAAAAAATCAGGTTCAAGCCACAAAAATTAAATGTCATGCTTGGTTAACCTTAAATGCTACCAAGTCTGGCACTGTGGCTTTCTCTTAACTATGGTTGGAGGAAGAATTGATATCTTCTTCTACATCTATAGAAGTCACCGATCACTTCAATCACAAATAGAGAGTTAGTCAGATGAAGGTGATGAGAAAGGACATCCTGAAAAGCTTTTCCTGGCGATAACTGGATGACCACATGAACTCACTTTGTGGTGCTGCAGATAAAACAAACTACTTCACATGATTTCTTAGGTTAGAGGATGAAATAAAAGTATATTTACAAGAAAAGAAAGTTGCATTGAGCCTTTTAGATTTTATAATATAGTAACATCTAGTGGCACACCATGACAATCCAGTTTCAAGTCTGATAGTTAGTGTGCGAGCAGTGACATTGACAACCATCACAACAAGCAAATAGCTAAGACAGACATGCATGGGAAAAGGGAATAAAGAGTCAAAGAAAGATAATTTTGTGCACCAGAAACTGAAATCATGGTCTGTGGATTCCTGTTTCCTCTGTGATATACTGTTTTCCATATATGTTATAGCCTAACACTTGCTGTAGCATTTAATATGTTGAGCACACTGATTAGAAATGCCTGCATAATCTGCAGTTCAAATGACAATGGAGACTGTGTTAGCCCTGTGGGATACAAACTGTTCTCTGTGGTCATTGTAATGCATCCTTATGAAAAAAATAGAATGGAAAAAGAAAAAGAAAAAAAAGAATGCTCTCAGGAGCTCTATTACATGGTTGCAATGGTTTTACAATTATCTGTAACAATTTAGAGATATTGGGAAAGAATGTTGGAGCACAGGGAGCCGGATTTTTCTTAAGAGAAAGGAAAAGACGACTGACTCATTTACCTTTTCCACTGTTGGTGAACGTGGCAAATGGTGATTGTTCACAATACCTGATGACAGCACACTCCAGCAAGGAAGGAGCTCTTTACTCTGTACCTACACTCGAACAGGACTGCAGGAAGTGAATGGCAAGTGATAATTATTCCATCCTAGAGCTGGGACACACTGTGCATCTCAGACCTGAACAAGGCTGCAGCACAATAGTTGATTTCTAATCCTCCAAAGGGGAAGAGGAGATACTGAAGAAATTATAAGCAGCTAGCCCAGAATTGGGGTTGTGCTCATGTGCTTACACACTCTCATCCTAAAAGAAATTGACTCTGTCTCTCATCATTTGCCTTCTGTTTGGTCTGTGTTGTTTATTCTTATTTTGAGCACTTCGAGTTAGGGACTGTTTTCCACATTTCAGTGATGTAATATAAAAAAAAGATCCATTATTTTGTTGTTTTGTTGTATCCACTAGATAATAGCAATAGTTTCTGTCTTTTTTTTCCTCCATTCACTCAACAATCTTCCATGGTTTTTAGAAGGACGGAAGTACCATGGCTGGAGTATGTGTCATGCTTACAGCAGTTATCTGATAGCAGCTTACTGCAGAATCCTGTGCTTTGGTGTTCTGCATACAGCATCAGGCAATGCTCAGTGAGAACTGGCACAATCAGCTTATAAGAAAAATGGGCCATGTCTCTGCAATACTGTATTTGGGGGCAAACCTAACCTGTAACTGCAGCCTAAACTGAATCCCTACTGTGCTGGGTATAATATGGATACATAGGGCTTTCTAAGAAGAATCAAGTAATAAGGACAGTCAAATGAGAAAGAATAGGAAATGGCATTGTCCTCATATTATAAGCGAGAATTGAGGCACCTTTTTTTCCCCACTGAGATCATTCTGAGCATCTGTGGCACATAGAGGAAACAGATCTTAAAATAACAAGCCCAAGACTCTTCCTTCATGTGTGGGAAAGAGGAGATACCTGAGATGGTCTTTTTGGGGGAATTTGACTTCACCCTTCCCCAGCAGTAAGGCCTCAAGATATTACATATTAACGTACATATACGTTAGCTTAGCTGATTTACCTTTAGTCATTTTGGAAGATAATCATTAAAGATTAAGCATTAAAAAGCGTATTTTTATGATGAGTTTGACATAATACTTTAGAAATTCATGAATTCATTAAGTCTTGGACACTCTCTAGTGTATTAGACAACAGTAACGATTTACATTATTTTGAAGTTGTAGCTAAGTTTTCAAGGGTAAATGGATTTCATCTATGGAGATAAAGAAGGTTCCTTCATTTATGTCTGCTGACTTCTTTCAACAAAATGGATAAGGCAGAAAGGATGCTGGTGTATTTTTATGTTAATTTATATATTTAAATTTCAAATAGCATTTTGTGGAGCTCAGATAGCTTCCCAAAAAGTGGTGTCAGTGCAAAACTAATGAATTTTAATTCTTTTCAGTATATTTCTGCTTTCATGAATTCTTTTTGTTATATTCTGAGGCATCAGAATGTACCAGTAGGCATTCAGAGTGTGCAACCCACAGATCTGATTTTTATAGAAATCTAATTTAACCATTTTAGCTACATAAGGAAGATCACCTCATAATCATGTTGTTTTTAATGACCAAATGTGTAATAACTAGAAAAATACAGGAAAATATCAGGAAAATAGACCAAACTTGTTTTTTAAGATTCTTTAAAACAACACATTATAAACGACAAGTAAGCTTTTTGCATCAATTATATGTTTAACTCTTTTTTGGCTAAATCATGCTACTCTCATACAGATTTTAAGGGTATGATGTTTTATTTTACCCATCTAACACGCCACGGTTGTCACAGAAAGGCTACAGGTAATCACTACCCTTGCTGTATTTATGCTACTTAAAGTAGTATGGTCTATACATTAGATAGTTAAACTCTGGAACTTCCTCTGCATCTTGGAACACCTTGGAAAACTCTCAGCTCGTTAGCAGTTTGGGCCAGTGTTTCCATACAATCGAATTCTCCAAGGAATCTATACTGTGCCCAAGGCCTCCAGGAGCGGACGCCTGACTGTATTTTAATACAAAAGGTGAGGTGAACAAAAAACAGCCTTTTTTAATAACATAGTCCATGCTCACATATCATACTGCTATAATCCCAGCCAACGTTAATAACTGTTCTTAGTTCACAGCAACCTCAGGCACTTCTGTATTTGACTCGTGCGCACTGTCAAGAAGAGGGCACAGTAAACGAGTTCTATCCCTCGTATCAAACTTTCCCTATCAGTAATACACCAGTGATGTTGAGAGTGATTGTTGTTACAGATCATGAAATGATTTATCGTTTTACTTCCCAAATTGTAACGTACCTGAGTTCTTATATAAAGCAGTAGCACTAGTCATAATTTACTGCACTGCAGTAAAATCAACAATGCAGCATTCCACAGAGCTAGGCAAATACTGATATTTTGATTTGCTAGGTATTCACAAATACCTAGCAAAAATTTTTTTAATCACAGTACTGTATTTTTTGATTGTAGCCCTCCCAAACCTTCACTTTTTAACTAAATATAGGTATATCTTGAAACCAAAACGTTACTTTGATACCTGAAGTAAAAACATATCTTTTATAAGTACCAAAGTGAATTACACTGATTTTTCCTCAAAATTCTTTCTTTTGGAGGGAGAAGGGAAGAACAATTTGAGGAAGCTAACAGGAATTTATAGATAAGTTCTAGCTGAGTTTTGGGGTAAAAATGTTAGGGAAAAAAAAAAGTCATCCAGTTCTACTTAAGAGAAATCTCCCGTAGTTAGAGAGGAAATACAGAAATCTCCTGTAGCTGAGAGAAAACACGAACTTAGGATATTGCTATCCGTCTATGTAGGACAATAGCGATAAACATTTTATTAGAACAGAATGTATATTTTAAGCTCTTGCAGTTTAGAAAATGTAAAAGTTGTCGACAGACTTCATTTTTTTTCAAGAAAAAACGGCACACTAAAAATTGTTCTTGTCTGTTTCCAATTATTTGTCATTTTAAACTTAACTCTTGGTAAAACCAAGCTTTTTCCTCGGTCCTCTTGAACTGACACTGTGATGGATTGTTATTTTGTTCAATAAAAGTTTGAATGTTGAAGAAATGTAATTTTTTTCTAACTAGATGATAATAAAAGGAATTATTGAGACAGTATTGAGATAGTCTTGACAGGTAGTATTGAGATAAACTACTCGTGATGTAAGTTTGCAGTTTATTGTTCCTGTCTGAAACATGAAGGAAAGAAAGACAAATCCTCTCAGTTTAGTGGCCGGGATCTTTATAACTGATAAAGAAGCAAGATGAATGAAACCACTTGTTTTAATTTAAGCGTGAACTCAATATAGAAAGTAGTATGCTTTGCAGAGTAAGCACTCATCTATACCAAGACTTCATAAGATAGCCAAATAAAACTTAAGTTTCAGAATTTCCTTAACAATGAAAAAAATGATTTACAATTTTTAGCCAAGCATCTTTTATGTTACGGCAAACTACGTGAAATAACTTTATTAGTTAACCAATGCGTTATATAGTAACTCTACGTTATTGTTCTAGGTACCTGGGAATAACAAGACCTCTTACGTATCCTGTCAGGCAGAATGGAAAGTGTATGGCCAAAATGATCCTGTGTGTATGGCTCTTATCTGCCTCTATCACCATACCCCCACTCTTCGGTTGGGCCCAAAACGTAAACGATGAAAAGGTTTGCTTGATCAGTCAAGACTTTGGCTACACAATTTACTCCACTGCAGTTGCATTTTACATCCCAATGTCAGTGATGCTTTTCATGTACTATCAGATTTACAAAGCTGCTAAGAGGAGTGCTGCTAAACACAAGTTTGCTGGTTTTCCCCGGCCGGAAGAAGTGGAAGGAGTATCTATGAATGGAGTTGTTAAACTGCACAAAGAATCTGAAGAATGTGCTAATTTTTCACGACTCCTTAAGCATGACAGGAAAAACATTTCTATCTTTAAAAGAGAACAGAAAGCTGCCACTACCCTTGGAATTATTGTCGGGGCTTTTACTGTGTGTTGGCTGCCATTTTTCCTCCTTTCAACTGCCAGGCCCTTCATCTGTGGTACAGCATGCAGCTGTATCCCACTCTGGGTTGAGAGAACATTTCTGTGGCTGGGTTACGCAAACTCTCTTATTAACCCTTTTATATATGCCTTCTTCAATCGGGACCTGAGGACAACTTATCGCAACCTACTGCAATGCAGATACAGGAACATCAACCGGAAATTATCAGCTGCGGGCATGCATGAGGCTCTGAAGCTTGCCGAAAAGCCAGAATTTGTCCTATAAGATCCCTTACCCTTTATTATGATAATTTATTGTTTTACCACATAACTCTTTTTTTCAAATTTGAGGGAAAAAGTTAATTGGAAGAACCAGCCTTCTTGAGCACTGTTAACACAGTCATCAAGAAACTGAAAGGTAGCAAGGTAAATTCCTGTACAAGCCCCCAGTCATAACGAACCTGGAGAAACAGGAAGACAATCTAAAGAGTTTGCGTGTAAGGAAAGGGAACGCGAGTACTGGATACCAAAAACGGGAGGATAAAAGGTGGTGCAGGACTTTTGAGTTACTGGTGAGGAAAGAGGGAACTCAGCCTAGCCCCTTTGTTTGGCCCTTGGCCCCAAACAGCTTCTAGTAGCTCTGAATATTGGATGCATCTTGTATCCTAGAATTTTTTTCTGTAATAAAGACCGGAGAACATTGAAGAGTTCAGTATAATTCTTTGCTTTCCACTTTTTTATTATAAAAATAAACCATTTAAGATGAAGTTGGATCAAAGAAGTTATATCTCTTGGAAGTATTCTTTATTGTGAAAAGGTGTCCATTAAACATTAATTTACTGGATTACCTGGGGGTAAACTTCTTGGTGAAGTTTAATGTTGCCTTTGTACAGAAATTGTGGCACTGAAAGAATACATTACACTTAGAACGTGAATATAAGAGACTGAGAAAAGTCACAGACCACCTCTACTGCTGCATAAAGTCATGCAGCACAATTATCTGCAGTGCTGCTATAGTGATTGTGCCAGATAAAGGTATTGTCCTATATTGTTAACTTTAGGAATGATTACAGTTTGTTCCAGGAGCTGTCCGGTCCAAGTCCATCTTTTCTTTCATTAATTATCTGGACTTTATCAGTTGAGTCCTCCTCTAATCTAGACTCAGACACTCTCTACCCTCAAACGTTAAGAGGTTAATGGCTAAAATGAGCACTGGATGATATTTAGCGATATCTGGACTTCATCCACACAAACTGATTTTGGTAATCACTTCTGCTTAAAGAGATTTAAAAACTTGCCTTGAGTAAGAACCAAGAACATTCACAATTTCTAGTTCTAGTTGTTTCCCTCCACACCAGCTCATCCAAGAATGCAGTTCTGCTCCTCCTGAGGTTGGTAACATAGCTCTTCCCTCAGTGGAGCAAGGTCAAATCTTGTAACAATATTGCCTATTTACAACTTAAAATAAGAGTTTAAAACCTGTAACACCTCATCCAATGAGGTGCTTTCTGTGGATTGAGAGTTCGCACTGTACCCCATGTTCCAGATGGAGCACAGGATACATTAGTGAGCTCAGTCTTCCACATCTACATTTTCAGCTGTCTGGGTATCACTGAGAAGAAAACATACTCATTATGAAATAGTTTCTACAATTAATAGTCAGTAAATTAGGGCATCATATACATTGAATTGGCTCAATAGCAAAATCACACTTTAGGCTATGTCCCATCCCCACTTTCTCAAGTGTGACACCAGAATGGCTTAAATGAATTCAGTGGTGTTAACTCACGCTAAATAGCGAGTAGTTTGTGCCTCATTCTCTGTTCAGAACATATAGAGATCATTGCAAATACCTGAACTTGTAAGCAGTGGTTACCAGATATGTAACAGCTGGACTGATGTGCTGAACTGTGCACCCTGAAACAAGCTTAGCCATTCTAGATAGATTTATACACAGTATACATGAAGTATATTTTGGCCTCTTATTTTTAAGAGAAGGATAATTTTGTAATGGTAAAAGATATGTTATATCCCAATTTCAAGAAGTTTTCCTAAAAAAATTTCAAAATAATTTGAAATATTCTGATTTCTTTTAAATATTCCAAAAATACTATGTGCAGAAGGATGAGAAGAGAATTTGGAAGAGGAGAGAATATCTGCAGCTCTGTAGAGTATAGAGTACAGCTAATGTTAGTACAAGGATGTTTTCTGTGTTCATCATGAAATGAATGATGTTTATGACTTTAAGTCATCTATCAGAGAGGCATTTTTGGAATTCGTAATGTAAGGGAGCAGTTTTCACAGTTCTTCTGTAGCATTTTTATTATTTTTTGATTTTTCTATCTAAGGATATATAGGAGAAAATACAAATTAAGCTATTCATGAAGGATCCAAGTGGGATTTTTAAATTCTGAAGCTGATTTCAGAATTCTGGGCAGAAGTTTCAGTTATTATTCTGCAGGAAATGCTGGAAAGTTGTATTTGCTCCAAATCAGAACTTTTTTTTTTTTTTTTTTGAAATATAGAAGTGCCTTATGAGTCAAACTCTGACATTTGCCCAACTGTCACTAGAGGCAATGTTCAGGGAGAACATCCTGCAGGACTCCTCTCCTTTACCATCTGCTTCAGGTAAAGACATCCCTGGAAAGAACAAGAATTGTTATGGGCTATGTCATTTCTTGACGTTTGTGGGGATAAACAAACAACTTTCATCTCTAGATATGTTTTTTGTTTTAAAAACCCACAACCTTCTTTATTTAGCTAAAACAAACGCAACTATGCAGTAACTGGAAGGGCTAAGCTGTTTTTGGATGGAGCTGTGTTTAAAGGGAAAAAACAGAAAAATTGAGAATATTAGAGCAATGAAGTCCCGTCTTCCCAGGTACACGGGTAATGTGGCATTGAGCAGATGAGCAAGCTTTCAGACTGAAAGAGGCTGGGATAAAGAGCATAAGGAAATAATTGCTTGGGTTCATCTCAGAATGCCTAACTTCAGCAGTAGTGTGTTCTTTAGTTAGATAATTAACTACTGATCTGGCAAAGGGGTAACGCAGCAATAGGTGAATGAAAGGTCTCCATCACACGTACAGTCTGATGTGCACTAATACCAAATCCTAAAAAAAGCTTACACCCTCAGCTGGTGTGTTCTTTCATGTGTTTCTAGGAGAAAGTGAGGGAGGCAAATCAGAGTTTAAAAAAAAAAAAAAAAAGTGATATAAAACTCCCAGAGCCAGTCAGAGCATAGGGAGGCCAGCATAAAAGTAACGGAAAGAAGGAGGAGAGAAAGGTGAGACATCAGAAGCAAGGCATGGAAGCAGTTCTAAGTTTCAGACATTCATTTAAGTTACTCTTGGGGTGACATGCAGAAATGTAGAGGGAAACAAGAGTGCACATCCAAGACTTTGGGGACATGCAAAATGATTAACATAAATTAGTATGATCCTAGTGAAAAGATTGTTGATACCTAATTGCTTAAAGGGGAGGTGGGGCTCTGCATATCAGCACTACTTTGCACTTAGCAAAAACATATATAAATATATATTTTTTTTAAGAAAAAACATGAAGCAAATTTTGACTTTAGGTAACATCTGTATAGATGTAAAGTCAAGAAAATCTAAGTCCCCCTCCTTAAGAAAAGGAGAGAAAAAAAAAAAAAAAGAGATTGATGTAAATAAATCCATGAACTCTAGTCATAGAAGAACATGGACAGCTATGAAATGCTAACTCCATAACCCCACACCTGGGAATTTTGAAAAATTTCAGCCATCTCCTTAGTTACAGTCTGAGATGTGAGAAGTCACTCATTGACTGCAGAGCATGAAAGACACTTGAAATGCTGCACAATTTCAGCTTTTCTTTCAACGTATCTGTTGCTTTGTGTAATGTTTGTGTGCCCAGGAGCACAGGGCAGCACAGTCTGGAAAACAAGAAAAGCCTGGAAAAGGCTATCCGGGGGAATAGGTTTGCTCATTAACTACAGTGCAGAATTGGGCCTGTGCCAGCAGAATCTTTTGTCTGAGGAAACTCAAGGCAGCATTTGCTATTATTGATGATACCCATACCCAGTATTTCTGATTAGAAAGCTTAATCTCATTGCTGTACTTCCTAGACCATCTTTCTAATTTCTATAGTTCTGCCTTTGGTTCCAAAAGGAATTTCTAGTCCTTATCACATGATTGCTGGTTGGTGATGGTGGTGGGGAAATGGAACCAGATTCTGCTTCCATTTGCTGGACAGGTTTTTGAAATGGTTGTGCTTAGTTCATGCTCACACTGTACTTCTGATTGCTTCCCGCAGTCTCACAAGGCTGTTCAGCCTTTCACTTCTCCTATAGCTCTTCAGTAGGGATTTACCTTTCCTTATTTAGGGAGGGAAGGAGTCACCAAAATGTGCTTTTAGGCTGAGGCTTTTTTGCTTGGGATCTCTCTGGTTGGAGTTTCTTGGGAAACGTAGCCAGCTCTGCTGCAACGAGTCAGGCAAATCGGGAGAGTTCAACTATATACAATGAATATTAATCATCAGTAAAATTATATTTACACAAATCCACCAAGATTTGAATTTTGCAGTAATGGTATCGCAATGAACAGTGACGATGTTCAGATATTAGGGGAAGATAGCTGACACCGTGGGGAAAGACACCAGATCTCCTCGACTTTATGCGTCTCCTCTGTTCACCTGTAAAGCGGTATTTAGAGATCCTCAAGAGCAACTATTGAGTAAGCCAGTTCCCTAAAAGGAATCTTAGGCACAGCTGTGCCAGAGAGCCTTTCTTGAGCCCAGCTCTCAGTATTACAAACACATTTTAATGAATATAAACATATTGGCCTAAAAAAAAAAAAAAAAAAAAAAAAAAGAACACCATTCTCAGCTGTGGCCAAAAAAGCCAAAGAGCAAAACTCTGAAAGGGATGTGACAATGTCATCCTTTGCACACAGCTCATGGTTTGGTATTAGCATTACCTTTTCTAGAATTTATCATAAAAGTCACACTAGCTCTCAAAGGCTCCTCCTGGACGTGCCTTCTTTACTCAAAATAGTCTTTCCACAGCCTGCCTCATGCCAGTGCTGTAGGAGCTGCTGTGCTGGTTGTACATTACCAGGAAGCCCCTGGCATCCTTTGAGTCTTGCCCTACTCAGATGCACTATATTTACGTCATTTTGCTCAGGGCACAAAGCAGCATAAAGCAAGGGCTTTCGATTAGTTGATTTAGACAGAACAATTCTCCTCTGTCTAAGCAATGGGCTTTGCACGGTATTTGAGATGATGGTTTTGTGAAGAGTTTACAGTTTGGCTAGTTTTTGCAGCCTTTTTCCCCACCCATCTCTGTTTCACTCTGTTGAGTTAATTAGTTGGAGCTGAATCGCTACCCGTTGCTCAGAGATTCAAGTGTCCCGTGTTGCCTTAGCTCTTCATCGTCATTTCTCCTGACCGTGGCCCTTGTGAATTTACTGTTCAGCTGCTGTAAAGCTCTCCCATTTAGGACTACCAGTTAATCTGCAGTTAGTCCATACAGTAAAAACATCCTATAGTATTCTCTGCAGTATTTTCCTCCTCTTTCAAATAAAACCAAAGGTTTTGTTGCTGCATCAATACATCATGAAAACTATACTCCCCTTGGTTGCTTGTTGCTGCTTTTTTGAAGTCTGCAGTGGAAGACCCACTCCTGACCTTTCCTCCCAGCTCCTGCAGTCTACCAGTGTATTGGTTTAACTCTGTAGCACAGCACTTACCAAACAGTTTGGTAAGATTCTTACTGTATAATAACAGATAAAACA